GTTTAGTTTTTGACTGGATTGTAGCCATGTCTTGAGGCATGACTCACTGAATGTTTGAACCGCCCAGCTTCTCAGGTGGCCCCCAGCATAAAAACGCCAACTACAAGTGTGCCCTCAAGCACCGCATACCTGCCTCCTGCCAGCGCCGAGACACATATGCCCTCTTCATCCATGCGTGGTACCAGAGCCGAGTATGATTTTCCGACACCTGGTAGTAGTACACTCCCTCCACCGCCGCCATCACACCCACCGCCATCTAGTACATCATTCCTTCCGCCTGGCAGTGCTGCCCTGGCTCGCGATTCGTACCCATCCAGCGAAAGTCGCCATTACTACCCCGCTCCAGATCGGGACCGCGCAGGGCGAAGCACGGCAGACATGTACTCCCCAAGTGAAACCACATTTCAGCACCCACGTAGAGCTGACACTGGTTACATGCCCCCGAGCTCTGCGGCTGCCTCGGCCAGCAACCGCTCGTATGCTCAGCCCCAGCAAGGTCGCTATGCCCCGCCTCAAACAAACGATGTGGATTTTCGAGCACCACGACGCCGCATCGCTTGCCGGTTTTACAACACGCGGGGGGGCTGTCGTCGTGGCAATGAGTGCCAGTTTCTGCACGAAACGCGATGAACCCGTCAAATCTGTTTGAGGCGCCAGCTTTTGCAGCGCTGCCCAATCAGCCGTCATAACCTTGAGTTGCTTTTTTATTAATCTTTTTTTTCTCGAGTCATTCCGTTACCTGCTAACGCGTGAGAACAGTATTTTGCCATCCTTGGGTCCTCGCTGAGCGAAGACACCAATGGGTGTGTAGCCTTGTTGGAGCGGAGAGGCTCGTTCCAACTCTAAAAGCCACGACCGGCGTTTTCTCTTGTTCGCGCTGCTGTTTGGTCGTTGGTTCTTTGTGTTTTGTTGCTTGCTTGTTTGCGAGATGTCGATCTCTGTCCATTTGCGAGTCCTGGTCGGCGCTCCACTTTGCCCGACACCATTAGCTGCCAAGGCTCTTGCCACTTTGTGTGCAAGCCCCAGATCTCTAGATTCCCACAACCGATGCTAGAACTTGACTTTTGCTGCCTGCTTCCGTACATCCTTTACTGCTGGTCTTACTCATCCAGTGGGGCTCTTGCTCCTTCACAAAAGGCAGCATGGAATTGGATGAGCTGACGAGAGGGGTCTGGGCGTGAATTGAGACAAGACTTGATCAAAATCCGCGGTTCCATTTCCATGAATGCATGTTAATACAATTAATTTGCTATGAAGCACCAATCCCTTGATCGGGAAAGAGGACAGGGACTCGAACCAACTGCGACTCGGCAATGGCGAGTGAGGTGATACTCGGAACGAACACAGATACATGCAGTCGCTCAACGTGCACAGGCAAATGTCAAGGGGATGCCAGAGTGAATGGAGTGCTGCTTGTAGAATGCAATGAGCTCTGGCAAGTCGTCAAACACACGGTCCGTCTATGCTCAGAACAAGAAAGGCGCCAAAGGGGTGATCATGCGTGAAACACAAGGGTGTAAGAGCTCGCTCGTCACGTGGATGGCTGTAGGCGGATGGGGCCGGCAATGCAAATGGGCCAAGACGTACCGTGGCAAGACTGCCGGCGCGGCGGGTGACTTTGACATGTGCAAAGGTCCGGGGACTCGTTGCCACAGAGACCACGAACCCGTCCACGGCCTTGGTTTCACGCACTAAAAATGTCCCAGGCGGATTGTTGGCCTGGACGGCGACCACCCGAACCGAGTCGTGCAGGTGAGGGGCAGTCAACGGTGATAAGGGGTGCAGATGGGCTTGAGATTGGTTGGTCTAATCTCAACATTGCATAAAGCCTCGCATGGGCACTCACCAGGCGTGCCTCGGCCTCGGATCGACTTTGCATACCGTGCATATATGTAGCCGTCTCTATCAGTGACAAGGGAGCCGAGAGGGAACAAGGGCCGTAAGTTTGGGAATTGCCAACTACACTCTCTTCTGGAGCCGCCAACAAACCAGGCGCGGTGGGAGCTGGGGCAGTTTGAGGCGTCAACGACGGTCTTGATGGTGGCATGGGCGAGCTTTCCTCAATCCCGGCCATGGTCCTCGGATCGTACATGGACTGACAAGGACAAGATGCACGACAAGGGATGCAAATGAGCCAAGTTGATTGGCGATGTGAGACTCGATGCCGTGCGTACTTCTGTTTGAATGCTGGCTGGGTCTTCCACGTCATCTTCATCCTCAGGGCCCAGACCCTGCATGGTCCTGGGGTCGTACATGGATTCCGACTGCGCGAGTGGTTGATGGGAGCGCGCGTGAGCACGAGCCGGGCAGCCACGAGGATGAATTCAGTCTCACGTACAACAACAGGATCGTCATCCTGACGAGCAACGGTAGCATTGTAGTTCATGTTGACTTGGCCGCCCTTGTTCTTCGAGCCAGCCCCCTGAGACACCTGCAAGGACGCACGCGGCGGTTAAGGCCATGACACTCTTGCAACAAGTTGGCAAAGCCATTCGCATGGATGGATTCGAGCGTACGGTGAGGTAGCCCTCCTCGCTATTGATGGGCTCGGATTTGTTCAACACCTAAGACCACAAACGGAACGAAACGTCGTCAGGATCAAAGGATGGCGCGCCAAGGACGAGCGGGAGCCATTTTGTCTGGAGTGGTAATGGGTCGAAGTTGGCAAAGCAGTGCACACGGACCGTCAAATACGCGCCCTCTACAGAAACGGCATTCCCTTGTGCAACAGTCATGTAGGCGCCCTCCACCATGACATTGTTCGTCGCCGCTGCGGGGCCCTGATCCGTGGACGCCGCGCATTTTAGAGTTGCAAAAAAACGCTGATGTGAGAGTGGCGGGGGGGTTCGCGGTGGGCTGCGTTGATGGATCAAGCATGCGCCGCACCTCCTCATCGCCGACGTTCATGTACAGGCCTTGGACCATAATGGCCTCCCCCAGGGGTTTCATGTCATCCATCTTGTCCTGAAGCTATTGCTGTTGCCAGTACCAGTGCCGATGCCGATGCCGATGTCGTTCTTGCAGTCGCGCGTCGCCGTCAACTGATAAAAGCACCCCAACAAGGAAAACGGTACAGCAGAGCAACGATTGGACAGGCGTCCAAAAGCCAGAGGGGTGATCCAATTGTGATATTTATCAAGGTTAATTTTAAAGCATAAATTAGAGAAAGCGTTCAAGAAGGGCCCAGAATCAGAGAAAGGGTTGAACAACAACTGAGCGAGTCCGCAATGCCTCAAAACAAACACACACAAAAAACAACAACGTGCTTTTTGTGTGTGTGTGTGTGTGTGTGTGTTGGTTTGTTTGTGTGTGTATGTGTGTGTGTGTGTGTGTGTGTGTGTGTGTGTGTGTGTGTGTGTGTGTGTGTGTGTGTGTGTGCCTGTGTGTGTGCCTGTGTGTGTGCCTGTGTGTGTGCCTGTCTGTGCCTGTGCCTGTGCCTGTGCCTGTGCCTGTGCCTGTGCCTGTGCCTGTGCCTGTGCCTGTGCCTGTGCCTGTGCCTGTGCCTGTGCCTGTCTGTGTGTGAAATAAGGCTTGAGAGTAATTGATTGATATACGCGTAAACAGTCGGGTTGAACGAGGCGAGCCAGCTGCCGCAGCCTTGCAAAGTTATGGCACAAAGAGCAACCACTCCTTGAAAGACACTAATGTACACGCATCAATATGGATGCTAGCGGCAGCATGCCCAAAATCCTTCGTGTCGCAGGTCAGTCCCATTCGCCCCAGTCATCGCCATCGCCGTCTGCGTCATCACTACTGCCGACCACAACCGGCTCAGTATTCTCACTGCTATTGGACGAGAGGGCGGTGACACCGAACGACTCGACGACATCAAACTCATCCAGGTTCAGATCATCATCATCAAGCCCTGCTGCTTGTGCGTCTGCTGACGCTTCAGGTTCAGCGCACTCCGCGGGCTTGGGTGCTGCAAGTTCCTCGGGCACTTGGGGCATTTCGTTCTGTTCTGACTCTGCGGGCTCTGCAGGCTCTGCGGGCTCTGCGGGCACTGCGGGCTCTGCAGGCTCTGCGGGCTCTGCGGGCTCTGCGGGCACTGCGGGCACTGCGGGCTCTGCGGGCTCTGCGGACTCTGCGGGCTCTGCGGGCTCTGCGGACTCCGTGGGTTCTGCGGGCTCCGTGGGTTCCTCAATCTCGCCCTGGGACACGTGCGGGTCCTCAAGGGCCGTGTGCTCTTCTGTGTCGACCCCCGGCTCAAGCTCGTCCGTGATGGGGAGATCCGAGTCATTGACATCAGCTGCCGCCATCTCTTCCGGTTGGGCAGCTGAGACAGCTGCCACATCCTCGGCAGGAGCAACAAGCTGGTCAGCGACCGCTGATGCCCCCTCCTCAATAGTTTTCTTTGCAAGTGCAACAGTATCCAACTCTTCTGCGGGTACCATCCGTGCTGTAGAAATAGCTTCGGCAGGCACATTGTCCACCAGACTAACGTTGTCCTCGGCCTTCGCTTCCGAATGCCCCCGGGAGGCCTCTTCCAATTGCTCTGCTGCGACGCTCAGGGTCTCAAATTTCGTCGCTGCAGTCTCAGCATCACCTGCTGTCCCCTCGGCCTCTACCGCACCATCATCGTCCTACAGGCGCAAAGCACCCCCCATGAGGGATCGGTAAAGACCCTTCCAGCTATTGATGGCGCTCCGCCTTTGATCTTTGTCCCCCCATTCAAATAAGCGCATCAGCAAGTCAGGAAGCCATACCCAATCATCAAACGAGAGCTCGTGCGTGGATGCCTCGACTTCAGCCGATTGTTGAACGCGCTGCAATAAAGCGGCCCGCCGCTCCACTTTCAGCTAGTCCAAGAATGATCCCCGTGAGCGCCAAGGTTGAAGTGACAAGGCAACGCCGCCTGGTTCTGCAACTGGTCAATACACATCGGCCAAATAGGAAATGGATGGAACCCACCTGCTGCTGATACAAGTGATACATGATGCGCTGCCAAAAGATCTCGTAGCTTAGTCGGTGTGGCACCTAAGAGTTGCACATAAATCAGCTGGCATCCATCACAAGATCCTTGGCCAACCAATAAACATGCCAGGATGAACAAACATATTGGGTGTGGAGCTGGCGAACAATGTCATCTTGGGCCAAAAGCTCGCCAATCTTGCCCTTGTAGGTATCAGAATCAAATCCCATGCTCCTGTGAAGAAAGCGTGCAGTCCGTGTGAGCGCATGTCGCAAAATCAAAGAGGAAAAATGAAACGAAGTAAAAAAATAAAAATTGACCAAAAGCCGCTTTGTGCCTTGGTAGACGCAGGGGCGAGGCACGAGCCACTTCACATTCCCCTCCCCCTCCCCCGCCACACACACACACACACACACACACACACACTCCTCCTCCTCTTCCTTTCTCTCTCTTTCTCTCTTTTGACTTGTTAACCAGCATCTGGTTCCGCAACGCACCACATTTGAAAGTCGTCATCTTGCAAGTCACTCTCAATCACGGCCAACCAGGCCGCTGCCTGCTTGTCGTGTGCTGCGGTAGGCGTGGACGCCTAGCAGAACCGGTGCACACGGCCCATCAGACTTGAACACGGGCCTCAAGTGCTTTGCGTCTCCGTGAGCAGAACAGACCTGGCGTTTTTGTCGGGCACGCGAGCTGCGAAGGCCTGAATGGGCAGCGTCGGGAGCGCCATCATGCTCAGCAGAGGCAATAGTATCCCGGACCGTGTCGACCACACCACGGACAGTTGCTTGAAAACTCTGCAGCATCGCGGACGGTTGTTGACAGAGGCAAGAAAAGACAGGTCAAACAGGTAAGCAAGGCTCCAGAACCCGAGCTTGGCAAATGATTCAGCAAGACAAGGCCGTGTTTGGCGCACTTACGGAAGAGAAGGCGGGTTGTGGCGTTTGTGCAGGACCTGATGACTCGGCGCGTCGATCCTTGATATGCTTGACTGTGTTATGTACCGTCTACGGCGATCCACGCGTGGTCGTTACCTCCCGCGTCACCGTTCCATGAAGTGGACAAGACGTGCCCAGCGAGCCAACCTGTTGCGTGTCGTCTTGAATGGTCCCGACAAATTCACCCAAATCGTTTTGAACAGCATGGACGGCCTATCGCAAAGGTCCGAGGCGTGAGCCTCGCCTGAAACTAACCCGCGTCCAGGGCAAAGGTCGTGGGACCGCGCCAGCTCGAGCAATGGTGCTTGCCCGTGCCCAAGCCACATACCTGGGACACGGTGCTCATAAAGCCAGAGAACCAGCCGCTACCGCCACCACTGCCGGCACCGCTGCCCCCGCTCGCCATGGCGTCTGCTTTGCAGTTGTCGCAGGTCGTCGCTGTCACCTGCAGAGTCATCGCCAACAAGGCGGCACGCCATCACATCATCAGCTGACCACGCCATGCGCCCCAGCAACACCATAACCAAACCCACGCTGCACATGCCCACACAAGCCACCCCTTCACCACCAGCCAACCATATACCTTTGCCTCTAGGCACCAGAGCTGTCCAGCATCACCAGCACACGACCACGCTGCCCTTTTCTGAAACTCACCTCAACACTGCAACTTTTTTAAATTTTTTTTTTTTTTGATGCAAATTTGACGAAAATGCACTTTATCATCAAAAAGAAAAAAAAAAGAAAAAAGGTCACACACACAAACAAAAAGCATGGGAGAACACACAGCCGTCTCTCGCGCGCCACAAGATGAAGGGCGGTGTCGCACGATTGGGAAAAGCTAGTTGGCTTCTTGGCATCCAGATGCAGCCGGATAAATAAATTCAATTATATGATAGTTAGTCACGTGTGAAAATCACGAGCGTATTCTAAGTCAGTGCTCAACGCATCTGGCAAAAGCCAGATGAAGTTGCCTTTTGGCCCACATTCCAGCTATGGGCGCGGATTCCAGGCATAATCCTCGTGGATGGTGGGGTCAAAGTACCGGTCATGAAGCACGCATTCGACGGCCCAGGCATGGGTGGCAATTGGAATCTCAGCTGCGCGGGCAATGTCCACCACATGTTCAAAAGAGGGCTCTGCGACGCGGGGCTCCTCGTCCGTCTGTGGCGCCAGGATAAAGTCGCACGCTTCGCGCCCATGGCGCTCCACGTCCATGGCCTCAACCATCTCAGCCCCAAGAATCGAGAGAGCATCACGCCAAAACTCGTGCAAAAGCCGCTTTTTGTGGTGCAGCAAATGCACGCGCATGCCCTCAAAGCAGGAGACCTGCTTGCGCACGGGGTGTTGGCGCTGCGGCAGCATGTGATGGGTAGCTAGGCGCACCGGCTTGTCATTGTCAAACCTCAAGCTGGTTTGACCGGCAGGTAGCAAGTGCGCCTCCAAGTCGGCAAACTGCTCCAAGTCGCGGCACTGCTCCAGCCAATTGGTGTCCACACACGGCACGCCAGTAGCCAACGCCAAGAGGTACTTGTAGGATCGCCGCGGGCACGAGGCCACAACTACCACCGGCGGCTCCTGCAAGACCGGGTCGTAGCTCTGAGCGTGCTTCAGAAAAGCACTGTCCTTCATTACCACCGTGGCCCCAAGGAGATTGGCCATGCGATACCACTCGTCCTTGGTCTCAAGCCCTGACACGGCCAGAACAATCCCTTGCAAGGGCTGACGATGCTTGGTGCGCTCCACCAGGCCCGGCGTCAGCCTGGATGCATGTTTGCGCTTCCGCGCCGAGCTGACGCTACGTGGTGGCAAACCCTGAATCTCTGGACTCACGCACGGGTTGATCCGTGATCGTGATCCAGGCACGGAAAATAGATCGGCTTGCACGTTGCGTGATTCCACAATGACTGAGTTGACACTCAACGTGACCTGCCCCAACGCCGGCGCAGTCTCGCTCTCTTCATCCTGACACAAACCAAAACGCCGTCGACATGCACCGGGCCGACAAAGGACCAGCAAAACGGTGGTGTGAGTGGCTGCGGGTCACAGGGATGTTGAATGGCACGCAATAGCCCTTTTCACGTGCTTCTCCGTCCCATGTCGAGCTTGAACGGGCGCGACAGACCTGAAACTGCACGACATATTGCTGCTGCTCTGGCAGGTGCTGCAAGATGATGGCAGCTTGATAGATGCACGACTTGCGTGGACGCTCCCAATCCCGCTCCTCGGCCGCCGCCAACACCTGCAAACGGACAAGCATCATCAGGCGTTGGCTCACCAAGACCAACAGAACACAAAGAACAAATCACAAGAGGCAGGGAACCACATACACTTGTGCCCGCTGGCAGGATGGGTGGAGCCACAACCATGTGTGGCTTTGATCGGTTGCCATCCGCAAAGTCGACAAAGAAGCGGTCGCTCCGATGACGCATGAGTCGACCCGGGTACAGCTTGCTGTCCTGACGATGAAACGGAGCCAAGACGTCCGTGCCCACCGGCAACAGCCTTTGCAACTCCTCTTTGCTCATTTGGTTAAAGATGTACTTCGTTTGGGCCGATGGGGCCTGTGAAGACAAGTAGTTGGGCGGGGTAGCAGGGAGGGGCGATGCCCCGGTTCGGCTCTCAGGCCTGCTGTCAGCTGAGCCATTTGGCTCGCTGTCAATCGGATCATCCTCGCCGCTCTCCGCATCTTCAACATCCTCCGCAGCCGTCTCCATGCGCGTATCCACAGAGCGGTCCTGCTGAGCGTCGGGGCCCTGCTCTAGGAGCTCCCGCTCAACAATCACGCAGGATGGGGGCACGCTCACTACATGGGCCTCGTCCTCTGACACTTGCTCCCCCAACTACACACGCACCACGACCACACCACACGCACCACGGCCATACGGTGCAGCATGAGCTCTTGGAATTCATGACTTCAGAAAAATTAAGACGGCTCAGGCCACGAAATCACGCAATGGCGCCGAAATACGGACCGTCAGTTTGATTTGATAGCGTTGTGTATCCACATCAAAGGACAAGATGCGACCAGGTGTATACATGGCGTAAGGCCCTTGCTGTAACAGTGTAGCCTCATCGGCAACAGTGGCCACCTGGTCGGAGAGGGAAAGATCCAAAGAAAGATGTGAGAGGGACCAAGAGCCACTATGATTAGCGAGTGAGACAAACCTCAGTTCCAGGCAACAAGATGCGAGGCGCCACGAGGACGCTAGTGCGACCCTTGGACCCATCTGCAAAATGTATTTCAAAGCCTCGGGGGCGGTGTTTGATCACCGTGCCCGGGTAGAGGAATTTGGGATCATCAGCGCACACGGCGAGCACTGCAGTGCCCACCGGAAACTGAAATTGTCTCTGCTCTGCGCTAAGATTATCGAAATGAAAGAGCTGGGGCAGCGGATCTTGACTCGGCGCGTGTGCCGCCGGGTCCGCCTCCCTGATTGCTTGATCGGAGGACGCTTGATCTGCGTTGGAGCGACGAGATGATGACCTCCGCGACTCAGGTGCCTTTGCGGCATTTGATACAAAGCGAGTCTCTTGGTCTCCTGTTTTTGAAAGGGCAAAAAGATGGCGCTTCTCAGGAAGGTCTGCCACCGGCTCTTGTCGCGGGGGATGATCAGACTGTGCCTTTCGATCACGGTCCGAACTCGAGGCCCGCTTTGCCCGTTTCGCATCGGGCCCCACGACGGGTGAGACTGCGCTCGCATCGGACGCACTAGACTCATCCTCGCCTGTTTGATTGTAGTGCCTTGGGCTGCGGTGTGGCGATCGCGCTGACGAGAATTTTTGAGCAGAATCGTATGCACGCGCGGCTGGCATGGCTGGACGCTTGGCAGAGCCTGGCGCCCTGGCACTTTTGAGCGGCAGTGGCCCGGAAACCGTGGCATCCACCACCACAACCTCATCGATGGTGGCTGCTTCAGGCTTGTTGGGACGACATGCTTGATCCACATTGAGTGGTGATGGCAACGCCGGGGGGGACACACCACGCGCATGGGCATCGGCTGCAGCCTGCGCGTACGCAATCAGTTGCTCCTCAGAAAGCAAGACTGTGCCATCGGGCCCCAGTAGATGGTCTAAAATGTTAAAAAGCAGGCCACCGAGAACCCCCAACATGGCTACGTGAGGCATCGTCACGCCCCAGCCTCTTGGGCACAAGTGGGAAATTACAAAGCCGTTCATTGAACATACCTGGCAAACGAATGTCAACTGCCAGCTGCTGCGTGGGAAAAAGCTGCTCAATTTGCGAGGAGGCCAGGGTACGCGTACTCGGCAAGCCCCCACCTGTCATCGGCATCTACGGCGCAAGTGGAGCACCCGGCATGAGCGTGTGCAGCAAGGAAGGAAGTGTAAAACGTGGGTGCATCACGGGCGGCCAGCGCTGACGAGCTCGAAGTACCATAGACAAGGATCCAACGTCACACTCAAAGGTGGTTTCAACAACCACGCGCACGATGCGCGGGCGCTGGCGCAGGTGCGGGAATGGTTGCCGCCTTTGTAAGGAGTGCTGCGCAGCTTGCTCAGTAGGAGACGAAGCGTGAGCTTGGCCTGCCTTGCTAGCTCGACGCCGAAGTGAGTTTGCCGAGGTGAAGTCGGTGGCTGAGGCAGCCCGGGAGTGCGAGGGTTCGGGCAATTGCTGAACCAAAATCTGCGCGGCTTCTTGTGTGGATAGCTGACCATCTTCGCTGGTGCGCCGGCGCTGTGCCTCATCGCGAACAGGCTCCCGATGCAGATGCAGCGGCTTGCTTTTGGATTGAAGGGACTGTTCGCTCTGGGGAGTGGGCAGCACCGACGCTGACGCCCGTGTGGGTCGCGGGTTGCTGTGCAGGAGTTCATCAACCTCGTTATCCTCCTCCATTGCCTCGGCGCGCTGAGCGGGCGAGGCAGTAACAGCGCGCGAAGCATGTTGCAATGGCCTGGTGGCGAGATGTGGAGTTGTGGGAATCGGTGGGGCAGTATCCGCTGTAATTTTACTCGACGCAGGTGCGTCGCGCGCTGGCGAGGAACTTGTGTCCGCGTGCTCCTCCACAAGCGCCTCAGTGTCGGCCAACTGCATGCCATGCATGCTCGATCGAATCTGCTTGAGTCGCTACGCGCAGAAGCGGAGCATTGCAGAAGCGAGATTTGGTTTAGCAACTCATGACACAAGGCCAGCGCAGGGACAAGGCGGTGAAAGCCAGCTTACCTCATGCCGCTTCTGCCGCCCGTTGGTTCGGCGTGCTTCCAAGCGTCGCTCAGCGGCTGCAGTCAGACTTCGGGCCGCTTCCTGGGAGTCGTGGAAAGCAAAGCTGTCACGATCAAGGGACACTTTGGCTTGGCCAGGGTTTTCAGTCGTCGCACGAGACACGCGGCGAATGTGCCGGACCGGCGAATCATCTTCATCTTCGTCATTGCCATCAATAGGCTCTTCTGCCGCGACTGGAGGAGACATTGTACGATTTGGGCGGCTTTGAGCCTGAGGACTAGTTGTTTTATCATCGCTTGCGCCGTCCGCATGGCGGACGGGTCCTGTCAACGCAGTTTGCACTGGCGGGGCCATCTCCTCGTCCAAGGTATCAGCCTCGAGGGTGGTAGCGGCTGTGTCCGTATTGGAGGACCTGGCCTTATTTGTGCTGGATACTCGATGTGCACGCTCCAACCGTGGCGGACCGACGCGTGCCTAAATCACGGGCCATGGGTCACAGACAAGCAAGCCGTCAAGGAAAAAAAAAAAAAAAAAAAAAAAAAAAAAAAAAAAAAAGCCAGTGCAAATTGAGGCACAACTCGAGGAGCTTGTACCTTGGTGGGCGACGGCAGCACCTGGGTTGACGCCGAGTGCGTCGGTCCAATGTTGTCGTCATGGAAGCTCCAAGGGGATGAGGATGGAAGAGTCACAGCCGTACCGTGTGATGTATTCAAGCTCTGCTGCCGCACGTCTGCATCCTGAACGACAGGGCCAGATGGGTGGAGCGAATCAGAGAACAGAACCTGCGATGACGCGCTACTGGTGCGCCCCAACGGCATGGGTGGGGCGGTGTCACTGTTCGTGCGTGATACATCGCCCGTCTCCTCGGCCCGAGCATTGTCCTTCACGGCCGCCGATGAGTTGGCGCGATCGGTCTGGGGAGAGGGCTGTGAATCGAGAGTGTCATCAAATTGCGATGTTTGCGAAGGCTCTAGCCGCAACGGCCGGATGCTGTGACCGCTGCTTTTGCGCGCCATTGACTGGCCACTGGATGGGCCTGATTGAAAGTATGATGGGAGTTGTGACTCGGTGCCTTGCGGCAAGGCCGGTGACTCGCGACCACTCGTATGCATGGAGGGGAAAGATGCTTCGTGGCTGCGAGTGCGGACACTGGTGTCGGCGGGCGGCGCTGAGCGGAGAGGTGCGCTGCTGGCTGCTGTCTCGTGGTCTGAAGCATCATCGTCGCTGTCCAATGTTCGTCCGGTGCTCTCATCTGCTGTTGAGCGACGTGCTGCTGAGCTGGTGGGCGGAGCGTTTGCATCTGACGTTGCAGCGGTGGCATCGGTTGCTTTCGGTGGGGATTGGCGCGGGGCGGGAGCTAATGTGGGAGACGTGGTGCTGCGCTCTGCTTGACGGGCAGCGCCTTTGCGGGTAGGGGTTTGGGTTGCAAGGGACGGTGTCCACTCTGGATTGAGATCCAAGTTTGCAAACGCCTGTGCCTCTGCTCGCTCGGCGGCCTGGAGCCGTTCGTATTCCCGAAGAAACTCTGGCGTGTCGTTGGCCTGGTTCTCATGACCGGACGTGGCTGCTGGGGACTTTGAGTGCTGCGAGGGAGTTCGGGCTTCGGGTGAGGGCGGGGGTTGTGGCTCGGCACTAGGCTGTGAGGCGGGTGGCGTGGGGCGATTGGATTTGTCCTCAACGGAGTTGGAGGCCAAGAGTTGCTCGGACTCGTTTGAATCGAGTTGAGCGGGGGCCTTTGAGGTGGGGCGCGGTTGAGACGTGGGTGGGGCGTCGAGTGAAGGCGGCACCGTGGTTGCCAGGGAAGCCGTCCATTGTGAGTCTTGGAAAGGTCGCTGGCTTAGGTCAGGCTCAAGGAAACGGCTGCGTGGGGTCTTGGCCGCACTGATGACTTGCTTGGGAGAAGCTGAGTGAGCGGGGAGCGCTAACGAAAGGAAACGGCAAGGACATGCGCATGTCAACAAGACGTGGGGCCGACAGTTGAAACAGCTGAAAATGTCTAGCATGGCAGATCATTCAGCGTGGCCTGCTGTGATAATTTACGTACCCGCTACAGTCGCTGTGCTCGCCGAGGTGACTGCTGGGGTGGATCCGGTACGGGGAAGTATATCGGAGCGGCGCGGGTCGTGTTGGTCGGACTCCAAGCCCTCGTAAAAGTTGGTCAACCCTTCAGGACGCGAGGGGGAGGGCTGGGACTCGAGGGCTTGCGCGAGGGCCTCGGCGGGGTCTTCCGCAAAGAGCATGCGGTGGAGGGTTTGCCCGTCGCTGCGAGCCAGACTGTTTTGCCGCTGGCCTCGACCGGCGCCATTCAACGTGAGTGGAGGAGAGCTGGAGCGCGCAGGAGCCAAGTGCCGGTGTGCCGGGGGTTGCAGGTTGAGCGGGACCGTGTCTGGTTCGTCGTCTTCCAGCGTATCCATGAGCATGGGATCAAGCTCGGCCTGGAGTGGAGGTTGGGCGCCGGGTGGAACGATGTGTGAGCAAAAAGATAAATAAATCAATGAAAGGACTTGGTCAGGCCTAAAGGTGACAAAGATGCCTACCGCGGGTCGGCTGACGGCCGCGTGGGAGCTGGGTTCGGCAGGGGCGTGGCTAGCGGTCCGGTGCGAGCTGGCACCCTGCTGGCGCGTTGACATGAGGACGGATGGGGCCAAGTCGACAGGGGAACCCCGGGACACGAAATAGACGAACCGTGCGCAGAAGAGAGGGAGTGCGGGCGGGTGAGAGGCTGACGTGAGTGGTGGGAAATTCCTTGGGTTGCTCTGAATGTTGCTCGTTTTGGGAAGATGGTCGACCCGAGAGCTAGCACGGGGCAAGTGTGAATGAGGCTCGGGTGCTGGGGACGCTGCAAAGTGTGGGAGAAAGGAAAACCAGGAGAAACGGGGGCAGGAAGAACAGGGTACAAAAAGGTGGGGGTGGGGGGGGGAGGAGTGTGGGGGCGGGGCTATACACGTCTTGTTTTCCTGTAAGTGGGTCATAGGTGGGTGGTTTTGCGTTACCTCGAACACGCTGATGCCAGCTTCATCGGCAGCAGACTGGGAAAGAAAGGATTTGCTGCTGTGAACGAGGCGCAAGAGTTCCTGGCTTTGGTTGTCCTGCTGGTCAAGCTCGGGGAAGTTGTCGTGATCATGCTTGGTTTGATGTGAGCTGTAGTGTTCCTGCGGAGCAGGCGGCTGGCTATCATCACCAAGCTGGGAAAAGTCGAGGTCATCGGCTTGCGAGTGCGCCAGGGCCGCTGAGCAAAGCCGTGCGCAAGGGAAAGGGATGAGAATTGCTGCCCAATGGGAAATGAGGGCGGCCCAAAACAGCGAGCAGGGCCCACCTAAGCGTGACTCCATGCCACTGGTTTTCCAGCGCCACGGAGCGCCGAGCTGACGAGCCGCGCCGTTGGCTATTGAGAGCAGCCGTCCCAGTCAGAAAGGGGGCTCAGGACTGCGCCTTGGCAGCCTGGCAGACTGTTCGTTGATGTTACGTCAAGTGTGTTCAAGGGCGTAATCCTTGGTGGCGCTGCTGCTGCTGCTGCTGCTGGGGCTGTCGGGCTGTCGGGCTGTCAGGTCACTCACACACACACACATGCGCACGCGTTTGCCTCTCTCTCGTTTGATCAGAGAGAGAGCGCGCGCCGGAATGAAACGATGAGAGAGAGAGAAGAAGAAAATCGGGCTATCAAAGTCAGAGAGAGAACGTGACGGAAGAATCAGGCCCGTGTACAAACAAAGCTAAAACTAGAGAGATGAGATACCACACTCGTCTGAGAAGAGAGACAACGTTCAAAAAGGATGACAACCACCTGAGAGTAACGGTCACTGAAGTCGTCCCACACACTCTTGCGTGTTCCAACATGTTTGCTCTAAATCGTCTCCCTCTCGGAACTATTGTTTATCTTCTCTAAACTTGACTTTCTGACGTTCTCTCGCTCTCTCTTTCTCCTTCGATCTCTCTCTCTCTCTCTCTCTCTCTCTCTCTCTCTCTCTCTCTGTGTGTCTCTCTCTCTCTCTCTCCTTCGATCTCTCTCTCTCTCTCTCTCTCTCTCTCTCTCTCTCTCTCTCTTCTCTTCTCTTCCATCGAAATAAACATCTCATCTCTAATTTCATGCATCTCCCTCCCTGTTAAATGAACACAACCCTCCTCTAATCTAAACCAGAAAATGATTTTGGCACGAGGGGTCGGGGAGGCGGCGGCGGGGGCGATCGCGGGGGGAAGTCGGGAGGAGCCGGATGCTCTTGTCAAGGTGGCGGGGGTGGCGGTGGGTGTGTTGGTGGCTGGTACGGCGGTGGCGGGGATGGTGGGCGTGCTTATGGCTTGGCGGGTGGAGCGCAAGCGGGTGAAGGAGTTGCAGGCTTTGCTGGATCGGATGGAGCGGCTTCGCAAGGAAGAGCGGACCGGGCGGTGCGGGCCGAGCAGCGGCTGCGG